AAAAGTAAAGCCTCTCTACTCTCACGTTAAATGTATGGAAGCGTTTAACGTTAAAATTTTGGATATTTAGAGTTTTATTTTTAAAAAAAAGTTATTAATGGCGTTTTACTCATTAGGTACTTTCGATATCAGTTTAAAGGTTTTTGATATCTCTCATATTTACGAAATAATGGCCTGGGCACACTTAACGATTACACCCTGGATATTAATGACAAATGGTTATTGATTTTCAAGAACAATGGTCTATTAGGTACATTTATTTCAGATTCCTGGCTTGTTATTACTAAGCGACATATGTATACTTACATACCATTACGTCAGTCTCCCAATGGGGTAGTCAAAGACCGTGTATCACCATTTACTTCGCTCTTGACAAACCTGAAGTTACTTATTTGTTAGTGTAATGTACCCACATTCCCAGTTGTTACCCGACACGAAAATGAGAGCACTCAATTCACACCGGTGTATAATGTTTCAGCACGCATCAAATGGATATATAACGTTTCCTTGATACATACGAAATAAGTATACATATAAAGTACAAAAGTATTCATATTACTTGAATGACACCATCAACCCGTTTATACGTCTCACGGCTGGACACGCGTACCCTTTCTGATGAGGGTTTAGGTTATAGTGAGACCCAATGTTTGTTGGGGACTTCATGCGTTTTCCGAGGATCGTGAATTTTCTTCGTAGTGCAGGTTTTATAACGATGTTAGCCCGGATTCGAACCGACGGGCTCTTTTTGAGAGCCGGTAGGTGAAGACGAATTTCACCTACCGGTCGTTACCATTACCTGCCAGGAGTTTAAACTCTTGAAACTGTTGGGTAATTTTCCGAAAAATTTCTAATTGTGGAATTTTTTTCGGAAAATATTCTGAAAAATTGGAAATGTTGAAAAATATTGGAAAAACATAATTCAAAGGCTCGTATTTGGTTCTGCGTTTAGAAATATCTTTTAATCATTAATAAATAAAAAATACTTATTAGCGTAAATTATAAAATAAAATAGTATACCTAAAAGCAAGTTAGGGAAAAACAAGATTTTAAATGTTAGACAGTAGCGAAAAAAGAGAATCATAGGTAAAACAAAATATTAATAATTAGAGTTGCAATGAATATTCTGTTACTGTTCGGTATTCGGCTCATTCGGCCAATTTTTTGCTATTCGACCGAATATCGAATATTAAATCACTTCGGCCGAATACCTAAAAGCAGGAGGAAGAAATAAGAAAATACAGTAATCACAAATAGTAACTATGAGAGTAAAGTTCTATGAGATCAAAAAATTATAACAAATCAAAGGAACACTACCTACTTATAATGTAATTTTATCATGAAATCATAATTAAATAATCGCTAACAAAATCAACCTAGTACTTAGCAAATGAAAATAATATTAAGTTTTTGAATGTTAATCAAACTGAAGTGGTTTAATTTAAGTTATATATGTATATGTATGTATAGTTATCTTTGCTATAATGCGGTTTGCGCGTCAATTTTCGTAAGATCATTAATCAGGCCGAATAGTTTGGCCGAATATTCGGCTAATCGGCCTCGCTCTGGGCCGAATATAAATATAAGCCATACTTATAACAACTAGAAATTTTAATATAGTTAAAGAATGATGTAATTGCTTTTTTCCTACTTCACCGCGAGAAATTTGCATTCGGTACAAACAAACAGCACTGATATTAAAATCTCGCCGAATTTGCGATTATTTTTCACTGTTTACATTTTTCTGTAATCGTTTTTATTTATTAATCATAAAAACCAAGTGACCACAACCAATCAAATCGTCTATGTGAAAGTACAGTCATTCACTAATCAATCAAGCACGGCGTTACGCGAAACGCCGCAGCATGCAGCGCGCTGCCTTCCGGCTGCGACATCTTTACAGCAGTGGGTCAGATATGGGCCGTTTTATCTGAAGTGTCAACTGTCAAATGTGGAAAAATACAGGAAAAATATAGCAAAAATCTTCGGAATAATATTATTTTTTCAAAATGATGATGATTTCCATGACCACTCATCATTCCATGATCACTCTTGAAAGATATAAAAGGTACTTTAGAAACTGAATAATAACTATGGAATAGTCAACAGTACGGTGAACTTATATTATTACAGTTTTTAACCGACTTTAAAAAATGGAGGAGGATCTCAATTCGACTGTCTTTTTTGTATGTATGTTACGCGATAACTTCGATATTTGTGAACCGATTTTCATGATTCTTTTTTTATTGGAAAGAGGGTACCTCCATAATGGTCCCATTTCTTTTTGAAGAAAATCATCCACCTCTAAGGGTGGCTGTTCACGCATGAAGTTTCTATAAATAGCGCCTACATTTTATTATAAGGAACAATTATTTTAATGGTTGATTTTGCTATTCTCTAATTCAAGACGTTTTTCTCTCTCAATACACTTTGAGTAGTGAGAACTGATTTTTATTATCTCCTGTGTCAAGTCGTGTGTAGTGGCGAACTGGGGACATTTCAATAAAACTTGGCAACTAGACGTAATTCCGCGTATTTTTGAGGTCGGTTTTTTTAGTACTCTGTACTGAGGTTATCAATCAACATATTCTTTATATAAAAATATCGTAGACAGCATAGTCAGTTTTATATTTACCTACAAATTGTAGGATATATTTTGTCATATGACATAGGTAAGCTAACTCCTCCATAGGTGTGATGGAAAGCGGTCACACAACTCTCCACTATTTTGAGTTACTTGCTTCACATCGGTCCATGGCAATTTTACTGACTTATTTGCCACCAGCTATCTGGCCGATTACCTTTCTAAGCGGGGTGGAAAAAAGCTCTGTTTCTTTGTATATATTGACGTATCGGTATCTCCACATCACTTATCCAAAATGATGCACTAGTTTTGGTTGCCGAAACGCAGGAGTTTTCAGCTTCGCTTTGAAATGCGATGAGCGTCAGATTTATTTGATGCAGCCACGTTTTCTCCCCCAAACAAAGAGATCTAAAACAAACATCTTGCATTTCATCCTTTGAAATTCGTAAAACATGTTTATTCTATTACTATTTACTTATTTAAATTACCTGCATATTTACAGGCGTAGATATACAGATTATATCAAATAAAATTAAGTTTTTCATAATACTGTTAAATACTAGGATAAAAAATATATAAGACTGTCTGCTGCTAGTATCGCACCTGCCTCTATCTTCACGAAGCACTGCATGTCGAAGTTTCGTGTTTTGTTCGCTAAAAACTTAACGCGATATAATGCAGCGGTCGCAATAACCGCGTAGTAATTTTAAACGAATTATCATGTAATATTCCAAGAAAGCCACAATACAAATTCCCAAATGTATTGACTAAAAATGACGACTTTCTTTATTTACTTCTTCATGTGTGCTAATAATTATTTCATGTATTTATTGAAAGTGAAATTACTTTTTAAGAGACGCCATGTGTCAACCACCAAATTTTTTGAAGCCATGCGGTGGATGCGTGGGTTCGGTTTCAAAATTGTGTAAAAAGTCTGACACCATAATTTCGTCGCTCCACTTACTTCATTATTCAGACACAGCGTCTAACCAGCAGCCCGATTCAGAAGTCTTCGGTATTTTAACCGAATCGTTGATTGGTTATCATTCTCGAATCGAAGGACGCTTTCCGAGCTATTCCGAACATTCGCGTTAAACGTGCGATTCGGATTCGGATACGATATCGTTATTCAATAGGGTTTACGGAATTAGTCGGTGAAATAGATTATAAGAAAAATGAAAATCCTTTTACATACATTTTTATGACTTGAAAGTCCAAAAACTTTAAAGGTCTTACATTAAAATAAATTAATAAAATTGAAGAAAATCCAGACTTTATTTAAAAAAATACGATACTTTCATATAACATCATCTGAAGTCTGCGTCTCCTAATAATATTTATCACACCTGTCATGGCGATAGTGAGGCACTCAATAATATTTATTTCAAGTGTAGATGTACGTATCGGATGCTTAGGACCACTCGATAACTTACCGAAGAAAACAATCGGACGTTCGATAATTTTCATTCGATAACTGTGTTCTGAATAACGTTTTTAACTTTTGCCTGTCGCGAAATTCGAGTAATCGTACGTGTGTGACGTCATTGTGATTCGGTTTCGAATAAGATAGTTTGACGTTCGATTCGGTTATTATGAATAAAGATGAAAAGAAATCGTACGATATCAAATCAAATCGGTCGACAACTCTAAGGTACGACAATAGAGTAATCGACCTACAGTTCGGGAACAACAGTCGAAATCAGTGAGTGAGTGATATTAACTAATGGTTTAACCTACTGCCTCTCAAGCAGAGGGTCGTGGGTTCGAATCCGGGCTCGCACCTTTTGAGTTTCTCGGAATTTATGTGCGAAATTTAATTTAATTTAATTTGAAATTTATCATGAGCTTTTCGGTGAAGGAAAACATCGTGATGAAACCTGCACGTTGAAGAAGGTTCACAGCACTCGGAAAATGTGTGAATTCCCCAACCCGCATTGGGCCAGCGTGGCGGACTATGCCCTAAACCCTCGTCTGAAAGGAGACCCTTGCCCAGCAGTGGGACGTATAAAAGGGTTGATGATGATGATGATGACGTTGATGATGATAATGATGATAGTATCGATATGCGAAGCCTCGTGACGATAGATGTAGGCACGACCCATACGACCCAAGCATTTGAATTATTGTATGTAAGGTTCATGTGCGTATCGGTGTGTGTTAGTTGCCTTACAGGTAGAATCGAAGGATAAGGCGGGGGACACAGCAGGTTTTATTTTGATTTAGTGCGGTTCACTTCAATATACCTAGATACACATACGGCGGGGGACACAGCAGGTTTTATTTTGATTTAGTGCGGTTCACTTCAATATGCCTAGATACACTTTTCACCCCTGATTATTATTCCTCTTTTGTTACTTTTTATTTCATGTACTAACCCTTTTGTATTTACGTTTATTTTGTTTTCGTGTTTTGTCAGATGGCGAACACGACGGCTTGTCCGCGTTGCTGGGATCGGCATCTCCCGACTTAGCGCTAGCTTCCGATGCCTCTGACAGTTTACCTCTGCCAGACCACGACCATGGTGAGTACAGTTGCTTTAGCTAACTGTACTTGATAACATAAATCTAAAACGTGTATTACCTCCTCAACCGTATACTGTACCTGTAAATAGGTATTGTACGTCTGCCAAACCATGTCCCTATGGTCATATATGGTTTGTACTATTACAATTGCTTTATTTTCTTATTTTACACATTTTAGGAAAACTCACTGTTATAGAGGTAGGTGCCTTCAGTATGAGTACACGATTATTAACGATTAACGAATTTCCACATTTAGAGTACAGTCATATACACAAGATACCTGAACCCCCAGCCGACTTTGTCGACCTTTTGGTTCTGAGCACAAAAATGTGGAGAAAATTGTTAAACAAACTTAATCTTTAACCTGTGAGTCGTAAAATTTATTTTGGTATGACTCCCTGGTCTCATTAGTGAATGACATTGTAAGAAAGTTTTTAAGCCAATTTGATCTTAAACGTACAGTTCTTACTTAAATACAGAATACAAATTTCAACCAGTTATGGTAAGCCGTCGTGGCCTAGCGGTATAAGGATTGCTTTGCAAATTGAGACAAGGGTGGTTCGAGTCGCATTAAAAATATTATTTAGCTATATAATATTGTATTTTTTTTCTGGATAGGTGTAAGCAATGTCTAAGTCATGTGCATACAGAACAATAATTTCTAATGTTAATAATTACGTTAAGTGCGGCATATTAAAATAAGACAGAAAACTTTGAAAGTAATTGAATTGATAAATGGGAACGAAACGTGGAACAATGCGTAATCAATCACAGAAGACACGGGCGTATGCAAACTGCAGAGCGATTTCGTGATTTGTTAATCTATCCATACCACAAACCACATAAATACTAATAATCTATACCCACCCTACCTTAGGCAATTTCTAGTGAGCAAATATTGTGATTTGTCAACGTTGACTTTAAAAAGTGAAACGATGCTGTCAAAAATATAACGTTAAAACAAAATAGTGCTCGTGGAATCGAACCACGGGTATTGTAACTGGCAGTCCATACAACAACCCGCTCGACCGATTTAGTTAGATGTTAAAAGACGAAATTTAGAATTTGTTTCAAAAATATGTTGATCATCTATTGTATAAGCAACACTCCACTGTATTGCTTATGCAATATAGTTGAAATTGCTTTAATTTTCTTTGTTCATTGCGTAAAATGGCTCTCAAACCAAAATGTATTAGGAGGTCAGGTCGCTTATTTGGTGCTACATTGATGTAATTGTAATTTTGGCAAATTTGGATAAAGGATGTTAATATGTAATTAATTAAGTCTTAATTCAATTATGCCAAAATTGCAATTAAGTCAATGTTGCACTAAATGAGCGAGGTATCTCATGTATATGACTGTACCTACTGCAGCTACCTGTACCTGTCACTATACTAATTAACTACATATAAAACTGTGCCTTTACTGACTTAAATGTATCCATTTCTTTCTCCGTTCTATTTTTATTTTATTTGATTATGCCGTAATTTGAGTACAAACTTACTGAGTAGGTAATGTAAATTATGCGCTGCTCATAAGGCTTATTATCCACCAAAGGTAGGCGAAAAAAAAAACAACGTTTTAGCAACCAATAGTATTTCTTTATCTTTACTAAGCTGCATGGAGATGTAATGTGTGAAGCCGTACTCTTCCGACGCAATCCTTGAGTGGTCGCGTCTCGTGAGGTGTAAGCGCCCAGTTACACGACGCGAAAGTTTTCACACGGCCGCCGTATGACGACCGCCCAGTTACTACGCTTTCACGTACATTAATAGCGAATCTGAATTCTATTCACTAGGCAACAACGTTTTATTTCAAATTCCTCTGAACAATACTACCGCCCAGACGACGCGCGGCCTCCGCCCGTACGCCGCACGGTCGCCGCGTAGACCAAAGACCAAAGCCAGTCTAGCCCGCGCGCCCGGGACGCTCATTTGAGTTAAAACGTAAAAGCTAAATAAATAAGCGTACTTTGCTATGACAGTTAGATGCGCACGGTCTCCGCGCGGTGACCGCGCGGCGTGAATGCGATTAAATTCGTGTCGAATAAATGCGCCCTTACTGGCTCCAACAATGTCCATCAGCTTCGTAGAAAATGCATCGATCGTGACGTCCCTCGTCGTTGAGCCGCAAGCGCCGGCCGCCCGCTGCCGCTTGCTGCTTGCCCCCCGCCTCAGTCCGCTAATGACTACCTCATCGAATGCATGTCGCTTCTTCTGCTCGACACCTACCCTACCTCATCATGTACGAAAGAATCTCATGTGCTATCCATTTAGTGCATAAAATTGTGTTGCTTATCATTATAAGCACCGTTAAATAAACCGCTGCGTTGGAAAGAAAAATCACCCGCTTTGTGCACCACCTGGACTTATAGCTTCTAAGATGATAACGCAATCAGGGCTCCATCACTCGCTCAAGGTTACGCGATAAGTACCTACTGCTGAGCACGTCGACGTCGACGCTAGCGCTTGTATAAGTCTTTCATTTATGAGCATTCGGCTCCGCACGACTGCACACGGCGGGCAACGTTATTTTCACCTCTCTAAGCGCGTGCTTAGGCTTCTTTTCCCTTGTAGTGAGCGCTTGTTGTCATTATTCAGATTTAGTAGATGGGTATTTTCGATTTTGGATGCGAGTGATGTATCTGTTACATAGTAACTATTAAGTGATCTGTGACGTAGGCAAGCAACCAAAAAGGCATTAAACACAAATTTTACTTTACTTTCTTTAAACCCAAAGAGATTTGCCTGAATATTGCTACTCCTCTAACAATAACAAAATGTTTATATTATTATGACAAAAAATTATAACAAAAATAATTAAGTTGTCAGTTCACAGCAACCACAGATATTTTTTTTATGAAACCAAGTGACGGGACGAACAAGTCGTGCCCTGGTGGTAAGCGATACACCTGTTCATAGCAGTTGCAGTGCCACTCATAACTTCAATTCGCAAAGATCTGAGGGGCGCTGCCACTGCACCCGTTTCTGAGACATAAGTTGAAAAGCCCCAAGTGCCTGTAATTTCACCAGCACCTTTACCCATCAAACCGGAACGCAATAATGTAAACATTACAGTTTCAGGGCAGAAATAGGTAAGATGCCAGTACTTCCTTGGAGAACTCTTTCAGAAGGAGCTCTATTGATACCCATTGCAAGGAAACCAATCATATTATTATCAGTGCTAGACGCTCATATCCAGACTGTTCGAATTTAATGCATGAAAATACGACTATTAAGCTAAGCGCGTTTATCCTTATTTATTTATATTATTATCAGTGCTAGACGCTCATATCCAGACTGTTTGAATTTAATTCATGAACATACGACTACTAAGCTAAGCGCGTTTATCCTTATTTATTTATATTATTATCAGTGCTAGACGCTCATATCCAGACTGTTTGAATTTAATGCATGAACATACGACTACTAAGCTAAACGCGTTTATCCTTATTTGGACTAGCTATAAAATTACCATTTTTGTGGACAAGAGCATCAGAAATATTTCAGGTTTAAATTCAGTTTATACGAATATCAATTATGCTTTAATTAATATGCCCCTTCATCCGTAAGAAAATAAATAAATGAAAAGCAGACGCCTTATCTACCCATGTAAAGATTCTTTGTTACCATCCATTGCGTGCATTTGCACTTTAAATTTATGGCTGTACAGATAACTTCCTGGCATTGGGGTACCTATTTTACATTTCTAACATGTTCAATGTTGACGTGTATCCATAGTACTTGAGACTCGACCACGTTTCATCTGCAACTTTTTTAATATTCACGTATTATCATGTCGCACCGTTAATGTAATAAGGCCACATCTGCAAAATGCTTTTGCACATAACAAAAGATCCGTAAATCTGGAGAAAACCCAGAAATGTAAGGTATATTTCTGCATTCTGGTGCAATGAAACTTTCTTGTGAATTTGTTACACAAATCCGCACCGTTTGTGTAATAAGGCCACATCTGCAACGAAAGACAACTGTTCATTTTGCAAATCCTATTTGTGTATAAATAAAAGAGTTATCCTTCACGTTAGTATTAATTACACTTCCCACTTTACATCAGGTGGTATAAAAAAAGAAAAAGTTACAAAATTTCACATATACATACATACATATAAACATAATTTTTTTCATGTAATTCATATAATATTTTATGTATTTCATATAATATTTTATGTAATAAAAGCACTTGTGAAGTATGATCATATACGTGTTTACTATACCTAGGATACCTTGGATCCACAGATTCGTAGATTTTAATAAAAAATCCTTTAGCGAATTTTAATAAAGGCCATAATTGAATAACATTGTTCGCGTTCATAAGCTGAGCAAACGACTTCACATTTTTGCTATTTTTGTTCTCTGTTAAGTCGCCCTGTAAAAGGAATAAAATTTAATATTTAACAAATCGCACCCTTCGTGTAATAAGGCCAAAAAGACAACTTTTAAGGAGAGAGATTTAAAATTTCTACGAATGAAATCGACTGCTTGTAACTTTTTATGCTTTAGTAGTAAAGTTATAAAAATTCACATAATATAGTCGTTTAGTGTAAGTGCGTATTATTTTTAGAACTGTCGTGAGATAAAAGCATTATTTTCACATGAAAAGTACTTTTACTAGCAATGGAGGTCCTTGTGAAAGAGTTCGTCCAGTAGTAGTTCGTCGAGTAGTATGAGCATCTTACTTATTTCTGCCGTGCTGTTCGTCACGTCATAAAAAACCTTTTGATGTATGATCACTTGTGACTTGATTGTTTTGAGCAATTGTACGAAATGTAGATACAAGCCGTACTAACATTATGTTATAAAGTTTTAAACTTCTATCAGTAGTAACGTTAAAGACGTGAAATTGTAAAAGACAATGCAAAGGGCGTATAGGACAGGGTGTAAGAGACGTAAACAAACAACAAGAGCAGTATGAATAATGAAATAAGTTGCGACGTAAGTTGTAGTCGTATGCATATAATAGGCACTGGCATAACCCATCA